CCTGGAGAGTTTAGCTCCAACCCTAATTAAACCCACCTGGTCCAGCTAATCAAGTCCTTCAGGCTCAATTGAAAACTACATGGTTTGTGTGTTGGAGCAGGGTTGGAACTATACTCTGCAGGGCTGCGGCCCTCCAGGAACTGAGTTTGACACCCCTGCTTTAAAGGGATCATCGGATGCCCATTTTCCACAAGTCGATATGATTCTTTAGGGTCTTAATGAAAATGCTTATATGTCTTAATGCTTTTTTACCCTGTCAAAAACAGCTCTTTTCAGAACAAGCCGTTTTGTAGCATTTTCCTTTAAATGTTAATGAGCTCTGCTGACCCCGCCCCTCTCTTCCCAGCTGCTCTCTGAGGGACTGTTTACTTTAGCCGCATTCATCTTGAAACTTGCTAATTAGCACATTATTAGGAAAGGCGATTTGCAAAGATTCATTAAAAAACCTTACACTCACTTCTTCTGGAGGTGAAGCTGGATCACGAATGATTCGCGCGAACATAGACGCATTTAGGTAGATCGGGGGCGCATTCCCTTCAGAAACAAACGTAATCCACTGCGTCTTCAGCGGCTCAGATGTCCATTCAGAACAATTTAGCAGCTGCATCGCAATGCACTGGAAACCACACAGAACACCTTAGCATCATGCTGGAGAGTTTTACAAAGGCAAGCACCACTCAAATTTTCCTCAGAAAATGTATAAATCTATTTTAAATCGTATGTGTCATTGGTAAAGTGCTCTAGCACAGCTGAAAGGTGTTACACATAATTGAGCCATCTTACTATATACATGTTGAGTCATGAACTCAGATGAGTCTAGCAGCTGTAGAGCTCCTGCAAACCTTTGATCTGCATGCTTCCCACAGTGCTCTGGTTAAATGAAGGATTGGGACTGGGGTCGGTTAGTGGTACGTCTTTGATGTGGGAAAGACTAGTATCAAATGTGTGTAAATCAAGTCTTTGCTCATAATAGGCAGGAGGCCCAATATTATTAGTCTAAAACTGGAAAGTGGCTGAATTTTACAGGGCAGAGGACTGTGAATTTACAAGATTGGAACCGCTTCCTGAACCAGTCTGGCCAAGCGAAGCTTCGGACGTCATCAATTACGTCATTTCTCAACCCTGGTCCTGGGCGCCCCCCAGCACTGCACATTTTGTGTGTGTCCCTAATCAAACACACCTGATTCAACTCATTAGCTCATTAAAAGAAACTCCAAAACACACCTGATTCAACTCATGAGCTCATTAAAAGAACCTCCAGGACCTGAAATGGGTGTCAGATAAGGGAGACATACAAAATGTGCAGTGTTGGGGGGCGCTCAGGACCAGGGTTGAGAAACACTGCTCGAAAGCGATACAAGCCTCGATAAGCGTTTCAAAGTTGCCGGGATTTCTCGACACATGCTCCGAAGCCTCGGCACAGAGCGTAACATCACTAGGGAAGACTGCTGGTGTATAAATATGAAAAGAGTGTGTGAGCATCTGTGTGTGTACGTGTGTCTGTTGGCAACTCAGGAAATCAGTTTCAGACCGCTGAACAGGATCAAAGTGAGTCAGCTTAGACACAAGGGTTCACTTCTCCTTCCAGATACACACATGGTCACACACATATACATTTTCACACACGCATTCAATCACACCCAGACTTTCCCACAGAGGCCCACGTCGAACACACAGCTATGCTGAACTGCAAAGCACAGGCACACCCTTAAAGGATTAGTTCACTTTCAAATGAAAATTTCCTGATAATTAACTCACCCCCCATGTCATCCAAGATGTTTATGTCTTTCTTTCTTCAGTCGAAAAGAAATTAAGGTTTTTGATGAAAACATTCCAGGATTATTCTCCTTATAGTGGACTTCAACGGTTACCAAATGGTTGAAGGTCAAAATTGCAGTGTCAGTGCAGCTTCAAAGGGCTCTACATGATACCAGACGAAACGATCGGTCATTTTCTAAAAAAAATTAAAATGTATATACTTTTTAACCTCAAACGCTCGTCTTGTGTAGCTCTGCAATGCGCATGCGTACTCTGTGCAGTCCAGTTCAAAACAGTTAGGGTATGCCAAAAAACTCCCATCTCATTTTCTCCTCCAACTTCAAAATCGTCCTACATCGCTGCAGAAGCACTGACCCAGTGTTTACAAAGTGAACATGCAAAGAAGGTCAAAGCCCTTTACAAAAAAAAAACAAAAAAACAACAACGGTAAAACAGCGATGTAGGACGATTTAGGATGATTTTGAAGTTGGAGGAGAAAATGAGATGGGAGTTTTTAGACCTACCCTAACTGTCATGAACCGGAATGCACAGAGTTCACGCAGAGCTACACAAGACAAGTGTTTGAGGCTAAACAGTATATAAATTGTAATTTGTTTTAGAAAATGACCGATTGTTTCGCTAGATAAGACCCTTGTTCCTCGTCTCTTGGATGACATGGGGGTGAGTAAATTATCAGGAAATTTTAATTTGCAAGTGAACTAATCCTTTAAAGGTATAGTTCACACGAAAAATGAAACCTCCGTCATCATTCATTCGACCTCATGTTGTGCTAAACCTGTGTGACTTTCTTTCTTCTGTGGAACACGAAAGGTGATTTTTTTTTAAAGAATGTCTCAGTGTTTTTTTGTCCATAAAATTAACCCTACAGAGCCCTGGATTAATACCTTTCATTAGCTAAATATTTGTAAAGCAGACAGACAGATGTAAAGGGTGACCAATATCATTGATTTATTGAAGGAAAAGAAAAACCCACCATCACCAAAAAAAGGGCACTTCGGAGTGTAAGGGCAAAATGGGCATGTGCTCTGCACAGGTTGAGCCCCACCTGTGCACGTGCCTGAATGTGGGTTTGGAACAACATGAGGGTGATTAAAGAATTTTAGAGTGAGCTAATTTTTTAAGTCAATATGTCAATACACGCATCACCACAAATACTCATTGCAGAAAAACATGAACTACAAAGACCATGAGTGAACAGTGATGAATTGTACCTTCTCTCTTTTTTCTATAGCTAAATGCAAATTGCAACCTAAAACATAGATCCTGGCTGCTTGGATTCCTTTCTCTGTGTCTCCTTACAGGCTCTGAGCTCAACTGTGACCACAGGAAGAGCAAAGGCACTGATTGGTCATTGAGTCTCCACTCATGCACATTTGTCAGCTGGGTTGTGTACATAATAAAGCCCTCAGCAGGTTAGAATTAACTTTGTCAAACACTTCCTTTGCATATGATCAAAGCTCTTTCCTGCCTTCCTGTGTAGATTTGACCTTCTTTTCATTTGTGACTTTCTTTTATTAAACATAACAACTTAACAATGTATTTACACTATCAAACATGTTCATGCCATTTTCCTTCATTTTCTATCTGGATGTAAATAAAAAAACAATGGGTAGACTGAGGAGTGTTTAAAAAGTTAAAATATTTTTTCTATGTAAATTTTTAAAAAATAATGTTCTTTTTAGCAGCATCATATGACCCCTTTAAGTAGATTGAAAACTATATGTAATTCATCAGGTTGATTTGCAGTTGACCTAAAAAAGGAAACTCTTGATAGACGCAGACATTTTACTCTAATGCCCCTTGTGCATTTTGACTCTAAGGCCCCTTGTGCATTCTGCGTTTTGTAACATAATAACATGAAAAAGAGCTTGCATAGCTAGAAGCTTCTGCATTCACATAATTGCGTAGAGTATGTTTTAAGACTTAAAGGGATAGTTCACCCAAAAATGAAAACTCTGTCATCATTTATTCACCCTCAAGTCATTCCAAACCCATATGAGTTTAATGCTTCTTTGAAACACAAATGAAGATATTTCATGTCAGTCTTGTGGTATTAGAATGACATAAAGGTGAGTTAAGGATGACATGACTTTCATTTTTGTGTGAACTATACCTTTAATGTATATTTTATTGTTATAACTTGTCAAGACAAACAACCTGCTTCTTTAGAGTAGAAAATAAAGCTATATCAATAGAGCCTGTCACTCTGTCTGTAGGATAAAAAGAAATCTTAAAACTTTTGTTTCTAACAAGCTAAAGGTGAAACAAAAAAAGGTCCTAGGACATATACTTGGGGTACACCTATCACCATCCATTAATAATACATACTTCCAGTAACCAATGACAACAAAAAGTGAAGGTTGAACCCTAAATAAGTTTTTAAAAAGCCTGTGTAGAACCTGTTTTTAGCCCTCTCTGTCCCCATTCGGTCTTCCCTTGTCGATCCCAACCCCCACTCCTCACTCCCACCCAGACATCTCTCTCCCTCTCTCACTCTGTCTTGGGCTGTATGGGGCAGCAGAGAGAAGGGGAGATGACAATGGAGAGAAAAGAGGGTTGCAGTTTGGGGGTCTACTGAATAGTCCCATTCAGCCTGCCCAGTCAAACAGAAACGCATCTCCCCACTCACTTACAACCCATAGTTTCACTGCAAACAACCAGGGCTTTATTCCTCAGAATCACTTGCCAGCACACACACTCACACTTGTGTAGCCCAAAAGGAGTGATGGCATGGCCAGACATACGTTCATAGAGGCACTCACTCACAATCAATAGGAGGAGCACTGGGGTGACATACATAGCGTGTACTCAGCTACAATGTGGAGCAGGAGTGGAATTGGTGAGCCAGATCTAAAGTGCTCTCCTGCACTCTAGAGCTGTGTCGACATGTACACGGTCACATGGAATTATCTCAGAATCAATAAAAGACATGAGAGTGTCGACGTGGTGGTCAAGAGGTTTGTGGCATCCAAACAACAACCCATGGATTGAACCAAGTCCCCACCCTACATTTTTTCTCTTACGATAATCTTTTTCACTCGGATGTGTCACAAAATGGAAGAAAATATCTGTCTCTACTTACATAGCAACTTTCTGAAACCCAGAAGTTGATGCAGCATGTATTTTGCACTTATATCAGTTCATTCACAATGAGTGCTTTCTAGAATGTGGTGGATTTTTTCCCTAATTTTTTCATTCGCCAGGTGAAAATTGTAGATTGTATTGTTTAGAAAGGTAAAAGCACAGCTCTCCTCAAAGAATTACGTTACAGCTTGTCAAGACAGACAAACTGCTTCTTTACAGTATAAAATAAAGCTATTCAAATTGAGGCTGTCACTCTATCTGTAGGATAAACACTTTTGTGAAACAAAAAAGGTCCTAGGACATATACTTGGGGTACACCTATCACCTTCCATTAATAATGCATATTATGGGTGGTGGATTTTTCATAGTTTTATCGTTTGTCAGGTGAAAATTGCAATTTGTATCGCTTAGAAAATAAAAGCACAGCTCTCCACAACAATACACACAATTTGAGGTGTCATGTCTGTAGCACAAATAGTGCAGGAAGTTTATACAGTGTGATTATTGCACCAATTTCAGTTCATCCATAGTATTTATGGGACAAATTAGTTCACTGAAGAACTTACCTTTATTGTAATCGGATTTCTGAATTCTAAAGTTTTCCTTACAAAGACAAACCCAGACATGGACAACAATCACATCAGAGCGTCCAGCTGGGTGAGGTCAGTGCCCTCTGGTTACAGAGACCTAAACATGTGTAGAGAGGAGAAAGTCTGACCCCACTGCTTGCACCCGGCTCCTTAACCTCAGCTCTATGTGTGTTTGTGTGTGTGTGTGCAGGGGAGCGCCCTGCACTTGAAGCCTGTTGCACGAATGCGTCGCTGACCAGACATGCCCTCCTAAACACACACTCACACACCCACACCCTCCCTCTTTATGGTCTGTTCAGGAATGAGGCAAACAGCACGGAATGAGACGCACAATAGCAGAACAAAAGGTGCAGGCAGCAGGAGGGTACAGCAATGTGACAGGGCGAGGGCTGTGTGTACGTATGCGTGTGCGCATGAGTGTCAATGCACGTATGCTCCATATGGGCACTCCCTCGTGCAAAAAGGCAGATGTCACATGGGTGGCCCCGCCCTGCAGGCCACTGGGTCACGCCGCTCAGGGACATGTCTAAATAGCTGAGCAGGAGCGAGAAGGACAGGGCCTCTCCCCAGCTGCCTGCTCCATGTACACATAACCATATTCATGCACCCTCTCCCATGCACCAAAGCGCCCGTGCTCCCCCTCTGCTTTGTTAGTGCTCTTTTTTTACGTGTTTGTTTACTTCTCCACGCTGATTTCTGCCCGAATGTCCATGCTTCCTCCAGTGCACACACTTCTCTCTTTTTCATGGTATGGACATCACACTACATTTTTGAGCAGTTTAGTTGAAGCTTGTGGTAGTTGAAAGTGGTTTATTGTCATTCCAGTGACATAAAAGTACAGTAAAACAGCAAAATGCTGTTATATTGCACTTTTAAAAATAAAGTTTCCAAAAGTTTTTTTTTGCAGGAATGCCATAGAAGAACCAATTTTGGTTCCCCAAAGAAACTTTCCGTGAACAGTTCTTAGAAGAAGCATGTTTTTCTTAGTGTGAAGAACATTTTAATAATTTAAAGGATAT